CCCCCCCCACGCCGCCCTTCCCCTCTCGCCGCTCCCCACCATGGCCTGCCCTGACCACTTGGCACTCTCCCCCCATGGCTTGCCCTGACCACTCGCCGCTCCCTCCATGGCCTGCCCTGACCACTCGCCGCTTCCCCCCCATGGCCTGCCCTGGCCACTCGCTGCTCCCCCCCATGGCCTGCGCTGCCCACTCGCCGTTCAGTGCAGCTCTGTAGAGGGACGTCGAGGAAGGGCTGGCGTGCTCATGGTGTTGGCTGGCACGGGTGCTCTCGTCCTCCTTCCTCCTCCTGGATGTGCCTGTGGCTAAGGCAACACCACATTAGCCCCTGGTCAGTTCCTGGCCCCTGTGGCGGGGCCCTGGCCACACAGAAGGAGCAAGACAATGGTGCCCCAGGGAGGAGAGCAGGAGGGGGCTGGCCCGGGAGCCTTGGCGGGCTGTCAGTCTGCCGGCCTCCCAGAGCACGGAGCATCCATCTTGCTGTCTCCCTGCAGTGTGGGGGCCGGAGTGGAGTCCTCGCTTGGGCCGCGGGCGGTCCGTCCGTTCGCACTGGTCCGGGCGTGATGCCCAGACCCTGGGAGGGGGCCATAGCAGCCAGAGTGACACATAATCAAACCCTGGCCCTCCGAATGGCACCTTCCCAGAGCAGGGCTGGCGATGTGCAGAGGCCCGAAGAGCCCCCGTGGCCGACTCGCCACTCTGCGTCCCTGAAGGCCAGCTCTGTGTGAGCGCGGTCTCTTCTTCCCGGCTTCACCATGACTGCGGGGAGGTGCGCCTCAGGTCCCTGGCCCTCCAGGGACCCCATTTCCAAGCCCGTTTCTTTGCTAACATAGTAGACTAATAGCATTTATCTCGTGGAAAGGGCGTGAGGCTGGCCAACCCAGGCCTTGACTCTGGGCGGCAGGAGATTGTGGCTTTCTCATAAACCACAGAGCTGCCAGGATGAAGAGGGAGGGGTGGTGGTTAGCGCAGGCTGGGCAGCCAGACCGCCTGGGATCCCATCCTGCCCGGGCCATCCCAGCCGCGTGACCCCCGACGCGCCACCAGCTTAGCTGTAAAACTGGGATAATTACGGCACTTTCCTCTCGGATCATTGCGAGGATAAAATGAGTTGATTCTTGCAGCGTTTCGTCCCAGTCTAGGCATGCAGAGCCCATTAAATGTAAGCCGTTATTGTCACGTAAAGAGGCATGTTCTTAGTGTATTCTTGGAGGGGATAAAAATGCTATTACTATTATTATTACTATTTGGCTTTTTTTGAAAAATGGGATGTTCTGGCAGCACGGCCTCACCGCTGTTCATCTGGAAGTGGCGGCGGTGCCTCCATCCGACGGACACCCGCTCCATTTGCGCCGCCCTGTCCAGGCCCACTGCCCTACTTGCCGGCCCCTGCAGGCCCTTTTCTGTTACCAAGTCAAGGCCAGCAGAAGCCAACAGGGATGCCAGGAGCCCAGGTCTGGAGGACAGGAAAGACTGACTTGCCCGTGTTCCAGAGGAGGCAAGGATTTGGACCTTGTGGGTCTCAGAGGAAGAGCAATTAGGAGAAAGAGAGGGTGGGAACGCGGGGCCTGGCAAGCTGGGCTGTGGCTTAGCAGCCCCACCTCTGGGGCCGGAATATCACCAGGTGCACGCAGAGCTCCAGGCACCTGGCTCGGCCTCGACTGCAGGCCTGGGCGCAGGCCATGTTTCTGGGGAACGTGGAGTTGGTTCAATACCCGCCTCTCCTCTGTATCCTTTAGCCTCGTATTTCTTCCCACACGAGCATCTTGGGGTCAGGAAACTGGACCTCATAGGAGGGAGCCTGTCCTGTTCTCGAGGTGCTCCATCCGCGCTTGCTGAGTGACGGCAGGAGAGAAGAAATGCAGGCAGCTTGCTTTCTGGTAGAGCCGGATTTCCAGAAAGCCTCTGGGGTCTCGCTGCATCCACGCACGAGGACTCTCCATCTGGTCGAAGGAAGGCAGCGATCATGTGACCGTCCCCTACCGTTGTACACCCACAGCCTGGCTCAGAACCTGGCACACAGCGGGCCTCCAACCGATATTTGTTGAATAAATGAACGAGCAAATCAAACAGGAAGTCTTACTGGGGTCTAGGTGCTGTGGTTGTGCTCTTAACAGCTGGGAGACGGCGAACCCCGCTTTGTAAGTCGCTCGGCCGACTGACCTCACCCAGCAAGCAGGACCAAATGACAGATGTACGCTGATCCATGGAACTCGTCGTGTGACGGCACACGGCTCTCCCCCGTCAGGGGCGCGTGGCTCTCCCCCGTCAGGGGTGCGTGGCTCTCCTCCATCAGGCGCGGGTGGCTCTCCCCCGTCAGTGGCGCGTGGCTCTCCCTTATGAGGCATCCTTTGAAGTCTGCGTCATCCGACCTCCCGATGTCCTTGGCAGGCCAGCTCATAGGTGTCCCATGCGTCGTAGGCGGCCAGTCAATGTGCACTGTTATCTCGTCATTTACCGCCGCATTCGGAACCATTTCTCTGTGAGCTGTGGGTCTGCCTTATCTACCATCTTAGATCCACCTGCTCATTTCTAAAAAGGCAATGACGAGGGACTAGTCCACACAGTGGCTAGCTGCTGCTGCCCCTCGGACAGGATGCTGTGGAGAGAAAGGACCCCAGCCCTGGCTTAGGGACCAGCTGGTCCGTGATCTCGGCCACCTCACCATTCTGGGTCTCCCCTCCGGAGCCCCTCCGATCCGTAATTCTATGTCAACACACAGCAGTGGCCTTTCTAGAAGCTGGGTGATTGTTAAGTCTGTATACACCTTCCAGGGAAAGTGTAGTTGTTTTCATTTAGAAACTTTTCTTTCTTTTTTTAAAAATAATTATTTATTTAATTTTATTTATTCATCCATTTATTTTAATTTGACCAGAGAGAGACAAAGAGAGAGAGGGGAAGAAAACAAGCCACCAGATCCAGGACTCAAACCATGATCGGCCATGTGGGAGTGTCCAGCGCCTTAACCACCTCGCCACCCGCTGGTCCCTAGAAACTTTTCTTGTAAGCTCCTGTTCCAACTCTATAAACACTAGCTGCAGGGAATTCATATTTTGTGATTTATTGGGAGTATTATTATGGTATCAGAAATGGTAGTTTTTTTGGTTAAATATGTGTTTAAAAGGCTTGCTGCATTCTTAAGTATGATTTTATTGTATCTCAGGGTGACTTTCTTTCTCCGTGAAGAATAGACGTGTGATTTATAGTGAGCCCTCACCGCTGAGGCTGGTTGTGGGCATACTCCATGGCATTACAGCAACCCCGAAGGGGACTCTGGCGGTGGCAGTGGCCAGGTTTCTAAGCACACTGCAGAGACCAACTCCCAAGGTTCTTTCTAGAAGTCCGGGTAACGCCAGGCCAGCTAGGCCTGGGTCCAGTCACACGCGGAGGGGTCTGAGGAAGGAAAGGGTCCTTAGGATATGCCAGCCCAACTCTCTTATTTGGATGAGGGAAACTGAGGCCCAGAACAGGGAAGTAACTTCCCCTAGGTAAAAGGCCTAGAATACTCGCTCCCAGTCTACCCTGTTCTCGTCCCACATTCTTTGACTGGGCTAATCCCTGTTTTCCCACAACATGGACACAGTAGCACACACCAAACCACTGCTCAGGCTGGGGGTGGCACCTTCTCTGTGTCATAGATTTTTTCCCCAGCACCACCCGGTGGCAGGCCTTCTGTCAATTCAGCCTTCCAACCAGCATCTCCTTGCCCAGACACTCCTCTTTCCTACTGGCTAAGTGCTAATATCCATCAGAGAGTTCATGGGCATAACTTCTTCAGAAAAGAGGCTGGAAGACGTAGCAAGTTCAAACGTAAGCATTTTTATCAAGAATTCCCTTCACCCTCCCGTCATCATCGTCGTCCCGGTAAGGCTTTCTCTACCACAGGAAGCCAGGGTGGACAAAGCGGAGACCGCACAGGCCAAACCAGCAGGCACATGGTACATTATCGAATCAACCGAGCAAGCAACCACCGGGGAGCCATCTTTGTTAAGGGCAGAAGAAGATGCTCAAGAGACACTGGAGAATCCAGATAAGAGAGGACTATCTTGTTCTTCTGAAGGACTGAAGGAGGCTGGGTGGGGTACAGGGGAGACTTTCCTTTTCTGTTTTCTCAGAAAACATGCAAAGAAAGGCTTGACGAACAACTAAGGTCACATCAGTGTCTCCCACACTTCCCTTTTCAAAGATGGCCACCCTGCTGTCCGTTCGGAGGGAGCACGCAGCAGAATCTACTGGGCGTGGACAGGCAGCAGGAGAGAGATTTAGTTTTCCACAAAGGTCGTCAGTTTTGTTTGTCCTTTATTGACGGGATTTAAAGTGCATAGAACTGAAGGCAAAGTCCGAGGCCTAGAGAGAGATAGGAGGCCCGAGAGAGAGGCTCAGAGATTCTAAAGGCAGCCGAAGAGTACCCACCTAAAAAGGCCACTTGAGCTGCAAAAAGGATGGGGCAGGAGACGAGAATGGGAAAGAGAGAACGGGGGCAGGGTTGGGGTGCGGGTGGAGGGAGGAGATTGGGGGAAGAAGACAAACACCAGTTCAGAAAGTCAGCCAGATGACCAGGAGGGGCTAGTTTCTATCCCAGCTACAAACGTGGGCAGACCTCAAGGTAGCGTATTTTAGGAAAGCTAAGAAGAGTGATAGCCTCAGGCAGGACGCGGCACCCGGGGCCTTCAGGTGGCGGCCATAGTGATGGGGCTTCTCCGAGCCTCTGCCATGGTCTTCCCTGGAGGCACAGTGTGGGGAGAAGGCAGGGGCTGAGGACCTCCGTGTGGGACCTCCCCAGAGCCCCCCAGGGAAGGCGGTGCCCTTGGCTCCCGGGCCGAGGCTGGGCCCCACTCACCCACACAGGCCGTGCCGTCCTCGTTGGGCTCGTAGCCCCGTCCACACCGCTTGTTGGTCCGGCACCGGTAGCTCCCGTAGGTGTTGACGCACACCGGCTTGTCTCGGGGGCACACGAACGGGAACTGGATGCACTCGTTGGTGTCTGCGGGGCAGGGGGGCGCTCAGCATGGGCCCTCGCTCGGGCTCTGACCGCCCCCACGCTGTGGCCCTGGGCGTCTTCCCTCTCTCGGCTGGCCGGCTTCGTTATGCCAGCACCCCTTCGGGCTCTTCCTGGACTCGACCTCCCTTCACAGTGGCGACGGGGCAGCGCTCGGGTTTGGCCCTGGGTCTCTTGTCTGGCTAGGACAGCTTTTCTAAGGAATCTCTTCATACATGGATGATTCCAGACTTCAGACACATGACGTCCCTGACCGACGGACTTGACAGTTCCCCCAGGTGCCGCACGACACATCCCCAGTGGAGCCCGGGTACGCCCTCTATTCCCACCTTCCCTAACTGGATCATCCGCTCAGCTGCTCAGGTAGGAACCCGCGTGACCCCGACTCCTCCCTGCTCGTCCCCCGTGTGCTTTCAGAGCGGGTCCCGTCCTCCTGCCCCGCCGCTCCCTGGTTGCCTGCTCTTCCTCACTCCTCTGCCACCCGGTCTCTGCATCTGCCTCCTCCCTGGCGTCGACTCCTCCCGCCATTCCAATGTACAGCCCAGCTGCTGGGGGGCTTTTAAGAACATGTGCCACGCCACGCCATGCCACACCATGCCACTCTTCTGCTTAACTGCCACGGGCCCACACCAAGCCCAGACTCCTTCCTAGAGCCCCCGGATGAGGCTGGCCGCTGCCTCCTTCCTACCCCTGGCACATACCTTTCTGCCTCACACTGTGCCCCTGCTTGGCGCCCAGCCAGGGAGCTCTCCCCTCGGCCCTTCCTGCCTCTGCTGGTCTCCAGAGGGCGCCTCGCATGACTGGTCCTTACACCACCTCAGGTCCCTCCAGAGAATGCCAGCTCCCCCAGGGCAGGTGCAGGGTCTGCGCCCCCAGCACCCAGTGCTCGGTGCGTAGGAGACAGGAGAGGACTGGGGGGCAGCACTGGTGACCGCCAGGGTCCTTCCTGCCAGCGTGTGGGGAGGACCGCGGCGTCTACGTCTCTGCCCCAGCTGTGCGCAGTGGGTGCATGGGGGTCGTTTCCTTCTGAAGCCATGCCCAGCACCTTGCTCCTCTGCTGCAGCCCTCTCCTGGGCATGCCCACCCCCGAAACGCCATCTCCCGCCCTGTCCAACTCCTCATCGGCCCTCAGGTCCCGGCTAGACCTCGCTTTCTCTAGAAGCACTCCTAAGACCTTCCTAGACTGGGCTGGGCACTCTGCTTCATGCCCAAATCTCTGACACCCCCACCCCCCAGCCCTGGCCACACGGGTGGCCGCCCACTGTTCACCGTGTGCCCCTGCCCTTCGATCTAGGCTCTGCCAGCGCGGTGCGGGTGGCCGCCCGCTGTTCACCGCGTGCTCCTGCCCTTCGATCTAGGCTCTGCCAGCGCGGGGATGGTATCCACCTTGGTCCTCCCGTCTCTCAGCAGCAAACACGTCGGCCCAGATCAGCCAGTGCCCTGCGGGCTCCTGAGAACGCTGCCCGAGGCCTGAGGAAGGAGGGGCCCTTGGCCTGACCCCTCATTGCTGTCACTGGGATAGGTGTTGTGTTGAAGGTCTCCTGGACACAGTCCCTGAGCTGTGCTTCTCCAGCCCCAGGCCTGGGGGGACTTCCAGGAGATCACTGGCCCCTGGAGCCGATGCCCTGGCGGAGCTGCAGCCACCTGCTCCTGGACACTCAGCCGCACTCCACCTTGTTTTGCCCACGTGCCCCGGCGATGTCCCCTGCCTGCCAGCCCTCTGGCTGGCTGCTCCACTGCTGGCCATGGCATGTGGCTATCCCACCCAGTCTGGGGGAGGCATGCCCACTCCAGCCACACGGCCCCCAGGGCCAGGCCTCCCTGCGCCCTGTCCCAGCGACAGTGCCTTTCTTCTAATGGCTGTCGTGGTAGCCAGGGCAAAGGGCACTGCCCGTTCCCAGAACCACAGTGGTCCTGCCTGTCACTCATTCACTCATCCTGCCTCGGCCAGTCAGGCGGCAGTTCTCCGGGCCTCTGGAGCCCAGGGACAGACACCACCTTCCCTCCCTGCCACTCCATCGTCTGCACCCTGGACCTTGCCACAAGTCAGGGCAGCGGTCCCCGGATGCCAGCCTCTGCCCCATCCCTGGTCCTGCAGACAACTCACCCATGCAATGGCCATCTTCCTGCTGGGAGAATCCCTGGCCGCACTGCAGGTGGGCAGAGGCAGAGACGTTAGAGAGCTGAGGCAGTCCCCTCTCCGGCCCCTTCTTAGTCACAGTGACAGAGCAGCCACCCTAGCCCCAGCGTGAGGGGTGCTCTTGGCTCCAGGCCCAGGCTTCCCTCCAAACCCCTTCCCTTGCACCGAGACAAGACTTGGGTGGGGGAAGGGAGACCAAGGGTGGACACAGCTCAGACTCCTGCCCGTTTCCCTGGGCCCGGACCCCACATGCCTGGGCTGGGACACCTAGTGGGACCCGCCCTCCTGTGGCGTCGCCTTGAGCCCGAGGCTGGGCTGTCTAGGCAGAGCAATGAGGGCCAGGAGATACTTTTTGGGGGTATCTGCCACTGCTCACAGGGTGGGGTCAGGGCTGAGGAAGTGGCTATCCCAGAGGAGGGAGGACCGAGGGCTTCTGTGTCTAGAACTGGAACCACTGGCAGAGCGGTGGGAGCTGGCTGTGCCAGCCCGTGGGTTCTCCTGGGTCTACACGGGGGTCTGAGAGACCGCGAGCTGCCGGCAGAGTACGGCGAGTGGAAGCCCGGCGTTTCACACGGACTGAAACATCAGCTGGCTGTACTGGCCAGTGACGGGGGCTCATGCGACTCCTAGCGGGGTGACCCGTCCTCCCAAGGCCAGCGCTGGCGCTCTCATGACCACGGCTCTTTGCTCCTGGGGCTCAGGCTGTCGGGCTGCATGCTCCTGTCGCCCTGAGCTTCCCCTCGGATTCTGCGAGCCGCCCTGGACCCTCCCATAAGCCCCCTTCTTCTGGAGTTTGCGTGGCTTCTGTTACTTGCAACCAGCTGTCCCCCACTGGGGTCAGAGGACACTCAGAGCCCAGGGGCCTATGACAGGCTCAGAGCCCCACCCTTAGGGCAGCAGGAAGCCTCGTCAGAGGCTTGGGGGAACCAGGAGGCAGCAGGAGCCTTGGGTCGGTTCCCAGCTCTGCTCACCACCGGCTGTACAGTCCCGGCGGGA